GAACTTCTGGGTCAAGGGGCATTTTAAAACTTTTGAGATTGTACTGCAAAATTAATTTCCAGAAAAGATGTGTCCATTTATATTTCCATTTGTGGTATGTGCATCTTTTTATTTATCTTTTTACTATGTATGGTGCTGATGGAGATATAAGAAGACAGTAGACCCTATCTGTCTGCAAAGATATTATAGGCCAGTAGAGACAATACTTCTGAGGGTGAACCCCTTCTCCTCCCTTTGCATGGAGTGTTACTGTACCTTCAGATTCTCAAGGGAAACTCATTTAAAATGGGAATTAAAATGAGTGATCATTTTTGTATGTATTTCACGCAGGCGGACATGCCAGAACATCCTCAGATTATGTCCTTATGTATTGGAATCCTTCCTTGCAATTTTCAGGCCCTTATTTTCTCAAATTAAAATAGTTTTTAGGCTCTGCCCCTTTTATTTACACTTTGTAATAGTTTCCAGAATTACCTTCCTTAAGTAGAGTTGTGATCTTGTTCCTCTTCTTTTAAAAACCAGTTTTGACTCCCATAATTTGGTTCCATGCTACCTACGACCATAGCCTTATTTCACGCTGTCATCTGTATCCAGCTGAACTGTAGTACTCAGTTTTCTCNCGCCGCCGCGCTTCCCAAGCGGCGCACTATCCAGTGCGCCACCGGGCCGGCCCTATATTACTTATCTTTTTAAAAGCAAAATTGAGATCATACTATTCATACAGGTTTTGTAAGCTGTTTCTATCACTTAATAATATATAAGTATCAGTACACATTCATGCATATGTTTCTGCAATATTATTTTATGATTAGCCATTACTTGGATTTGCCATAATTTCTTTAACCCAACCATTTAGTATTGGATGTTTCAAATGTTTCAGCTTTTCAAAATTACTAAGAGTGCTGTTGTGATATCCCAAGACATGTATGTTTTGTGTTGATGACAGATTATTTCCTTAGTGTAAATTTTGAGAAATGGAACTTCTGGGTCAAGGGGAATTTAAAAACTTTTGAGATTGTACTGCATAATTATTTTCCAGAAAAGATGTGTCCATTTATATTTCCATGTGTGGTATGTGCATCTTTTTATTTATCTTTTTACTATGTATGGTGCTGATGGAGATATAAGAAGATAGTCGACACTGTCTGTCTGCAAAGATATTATAGGCCAGTAGAGACAATATTTCTGAGGGTGAACCCCTTTTCCTCCCTTTGCATGGAGTGTTAGTGTACCTTCAGATTCTCAAGGGAAACTCATTTAAAATGGGAATTAAAATGAGTGATCATTTTTGTATGTGTTTCACTCAGGCAGACATGCCAGAACATCCTCAGATTATGTCCTTATATATTGTAATCCTTCCTTGCAATTTTCAGGCCCTTATTTTCTCAAAATAGTTTTTAGTCTCTGCCCCTTTTATTTACACTTTGTAATACTTTCCAGAATAACCTTCCTTAAGTAGAGCTGTGATCTTGTTCCTCTTTTTGAAAAAACCAGTTTTTTTTTTTTTTTATGACCGGTAAGGGGATCTCAACCCTTGGCTTGGTGTTGTCAGCACCACGCTCAACCAGTGAGCAAACCGGCCATCCCTATATAGGATCCGAACCCGTGGCCTTGGTGTTATCAGCACCGCACTCTACCGAGTGAGCCACGGGCCGGCCTGAAAAAACCAGTTTTGACTCCCGTGATTTGGTTCCATGCTAACTACTACCTTAGTCTTATTTCACGCTATCATCTGTGTCCAGCTGAACTGTATTACTCAGTTTTCTCAGACCTACTGTCTTCCTATTTCTTTTTCTTATACTTTTTCTTTTCATATTCTTTCTTCTGCCTGAAGAATGGACCTATCCCTGACAGTTTTTTCTGTGAATCCACCTGTTCTTCAAATTCCATTTTCTTCATGAAGGGTACTTTATTTAGCACCCCCCTGCTCATGTGTGGAACAAACATTGGTGTGATGCTTTTCCTTTGAACTTGTATAACACTTTGAGTCTCTGCTAGATTACATATATTTTACTTTAGGGTACAGGTAATTGTTGACCTGTCTTGTAGTGTCTCCCACCCAATGAAATGTCAGGTCACTGGGGAGTAGGAATGATGCCATTCATTTTGTACCCTTCCCATAGCATATATTACACATAGTTTAATAGATTTTCAGTAAATATTTGTTGTATGAATAACTCAGTCTACAAGCCCTAACTTTACAATAGTGTGACCTGGTATTTCTTAACTTTGAATGCCATCATAACTCATTTCATCCTTACAGTCACCCGTTAAGTGATTAGCTAACCAGCAAAGCTGAATCAATTCCAGGGACATTGAGAGCAGAGGTCTTCTTACTATCAATTTACTGCTCTTTCCACAAGAGGGTGGTATTGGGTAAAGTCTCTTCAAAGTGAGATGATCTTGAATAAAAATTTAACTAGATATTAAAAACCCAGAAAGATTATTGCAGTGTTTTGGATATAATCATTATTAATTAAGGAAGTACACCAATGACATAAGCCTAGATAGGTGCTATATAAATCTCCTAGGGATCCCTGGATTATTATTTTGGGACAGGACTAGGTATTATTGTATTTAATGTAGGTAAAAAGAAAGATGATAGTAAAAGTTAATTAACTAATAATCAGAGCAATTAGTTCATCAGTTGGATAGCCTTTGGAAACTGTGAGTTCACCATGATTGCAAGTGTCAAAAGCAAGGGGGTGTCATAGAATCTCTTCTTTGTTAGGCTAGAGGCTGGATAAAATGACTTTGAAGGTCCCTTACAACTTAAAATTCTGTGATAAATTACATCTTAGAGATTTAACCTGGAGACATGAAAATTGCAGACTATTTATAAATTTTTTCTTTTGCTGACATTTCTTGTTTAGCCTAATTCTTAGTCTTTAAAAGGACAGCCATTTGTTCAAAGTCACTTTTACAGGAAGGATCATTGAGTTAATAAAAATGGGGAGAACAGAGGAACTCTTCAAGTTTCTTTGAAATCTAACTTGAATTTAATGCAATAAAATGTCAGGAAGGTCCAATTCATATAGACAAAGTAGAATAGTTGCCAGAGGAAGGGGGAGTTGTTATTTAATGAATATCAGGGCTGGCTGGTTAGCTCAGGTGGTTAGAGCGCAGCCTTGTAATACCAAGATCAAGGGTTCAGATCCCTCCAGTGGTCAGCTGCCAAAAAAAAAAAAAATGAGTATGGAGTTTCAGTTTGGGAAGATGAAAAAAAGTTCTGGAGTTGGATGGTGGTGGTGGTTGCACAACAGTGTGATTGTACTTAGTGCCACTGAGCAGGACATGTAAAAATGGTTACAATGGTAAATTTTAATGTGTATGTTACCACAATAACAAAATGTGGGGAAGATGTTTCTTCTTGTTAACGTACCTAAATACTTTGAAATCTACCCTGAATTTAGTGCAATAAGACTTAGGCAAGGTGATTCTTCTGGTTAAAGTAATAGAAGCAGTTTGATTTTTATTCTTTTTGTTTAAAGCCATCAAGCCAGTGTGCAGGTAGAGTCATTACAGGAGCAATTGAATGTAGTCTCCAAGCAAAGGGATGAAACTGCACTGCAGCTTTCGGTTTCCCAGGAACAAGTAAAGCAGTATACTCTATCACTAGCCAACCTGCAGATGGTACTAGAGCATTTTCAACAAGGTAAGTTGTATGGTCAGTTTTTCAGTGAAGAAAAATTGTAGTTGTTGGTAATTTTCCCCTATTGGAGTGCCATTTTAGATTAAACATGGGGAAATCTTCAAAAGGTTACCCACTTGTAGGGGCAAAAGGTAAGTAGCCATCATCACCTAGTTAGACTCCTTTACAACTAAGCCTAGAAAACATTAACTATGTTCAGTAGTTATTAAAAATTTCATTTAGGGGCCGACCCCATGGCTCACTCGGGAGAGTGCAGTGCTGGGAGCACAGAGGCACTCCCGCCGTGGGTTCAGATCCTATATAGGGATGGCCAGTGCGCTCACTGGCTGAGCGCGGTGCAGACGACACCAAGCCAAGGGTTGCGATCCCCTTACCAGTCACTAAAAAAAAAAAAAAAAAAAAAAAATTGATTTAGTGTTATATTACAAGTTAAGGTGAGAGTTGAGGTATAAAGGAAACACGCGGTAGGATGATCAAGTGATAAAGGGAGAATACAAAGAAAGAGAGAGATACACACATGGAAAAGGTGATTAGGTTTTAAGATATTGGTTGGAGGTCAAACCCACTTCAGAGTGTTAATCATTAGTAATTACTGTCCTTTGATATATTTATTAACTTGTTATTAGCTATTCATCTATACTTTGAGGTGACTATATCTTCTAGTTCAAATGGGAAGTACTTTTCTGGAGACACAGTAACAGTGACCATAGCCGTTTTATTTTGAGAACCAAATAATGTCTTTTCACATTCTCTCATCCTCAGATTTGTGGTAATGCTTTAGTTTCACCCATCCTTTTGTTTTTTCATACATTCAATAACTATTGATAGTGAATTAATTGCTCGGTGGAAGGTGGTTAGGGGATATGAGGATAAGGAAGTAACTTTAAATTTGTACCTGCGTGTCCCTTCAGGGTTATGCATGTGGTTGAAATTGTGAATTTTGAATATAAAGTTTCTAGATTTTTGTAATGTAATATAATTACAAGAGCAGGCATGTATACAAACTAGTATGGTACTGAGGCCAGAGAGAAAAAAATTGCCAAAGGGGAAATACTTGAGTAGAGTTAAGAAAGGAGAGAAGAATCTGCAGGATAAACAACATGGAAAAGGGTTTATGCAGAGAAAACAGTGATCTCGTTACTTAAGATTATCAGTAAGGCATATATAATTTTCTCATTGAGACATTTGAACTAGTTTTGTTGAATTATTAAAATTTCAAGTGGTTTAAA